CTCTCTCTCTCTCTCTCTCTCTCTCTCTCTCTCTCTCTCTCTCTCTCTCTTTTCCCCTTTCTCTCTCTATTAGTCTTTTACTGTCAGGCCAAAAGTTGACCAATGTTAGAATTTAAATATAGATATATTGCTCTTAAAAGAAAATTTGAAAATAATGTATAGAAAAGTAACATCTTTAGTACTGCAGACATATTTTCTTTATTTATCTTTCTTTCACAAGAAATGTAGTCAGTCAACTTTACCTCACAACATTAGATAAAGTTGACTACTTTTGTGACTCATTTTGTAAGGTGTAAGGTGCTGTGAAGTACTTCATTTTAGGTACTTACAAGACTTCAGATGACCTGGTGGGGTCCTCATAGGAAAAAAAATGTATATTTAAATTTCCCACAATTTGGCAAAGAAAAAAAATTATTAAAGAAGAAAGTCACCGTTCCAAACTAGCTATTGTATGATATAGTAACGACAGCATGTTCAATGAAAACTAGACAGATATTGGTTACCATTGTAGTTACACATTATTATATCCAAAGACTGTTTAACACATTGGTTTCTAGAGTTTGGATAAGGTTTCTCTAATCTTTGTTATCTTGTTACGTATATTTGGTGTTGATTTGGCATTGTTCCCGGGAACAGGCATAATATTATTGTCATACTGGTTAACTTTTTTCACCAAGTTATCTGATTTTTTTCTTAGAAATTGTTTGGGTTTGACACCTAGAATGGCGGCTCCCCCCTTTTTGTGTGAAATATTCACAGTTTCAAAGTCAGATGCCTTAAGACATTTAAAGGCTTGTTTTTGTATATGAATCATTGGTCAGCTTTTGACTACACTTTCTGTACATATTTCCACCTTTTATCAGATGACAACCCCACACACACACACACAAATACAAAATACCAGATTGAGTCTTCTTACAAAAGAAATGTGTATTGAATTGCACATAACATCAATTTTCTATTTGGTATTAATTTGATACAAATTTACACTTATTTCTACTTTTTCTTCTTAATTAGTATTCATCTGTTACATTTGATTCCTTATATGAAATTTTGAGCAACTAATACTTTATTATCCACAACTATTTCACTTTATTAATGACTTTTTTCATAATGATATATGCATCAAATTGAAATTGTGGTCATTCCCAGTCAAGACTGCACTACTTTATGGTCCACACACATTATTAAGAGCTCTTATAACAATTAAGAAATTATTTGATAGCATAATGTAAGTTAGCATATGTTTTTCTCTCCTTATCTTATTTAGTTTTAAAAAGGCATACTTTTGTAAGAAAAAAATTCAAATACTATAGACAAAAAATATATCTACTTAGGGAATTAATTTGGGTTGTGAATTAAAGGTTGTATGTCATAATTTGTTTTAATAAATTAATCATTTAAATATCACTTCTTTTGCCAGCCTGTCATGATGGTGAATGTGCAGGACATCTGTGAAAACATGAGGCTGGCCAGAGAGATGGCCCTTACCAGCCAGTATGAGACAGCTGCTGTGTACTACCAGGGAGTTGTACAGCAAATCCATAGACTGCTTGCAACCATACAAGAGCCCAACCGGAAGATAAAATGGCAGCAGGTATTACATTAAAAAAAGAATGGTATATAAAAGCCATAATAAACTAGATAGTTGCTCTTTCTCAGCAGTTGTGGTAGTAGTAGTAGTAATTAAATTTAGTACTTATGGTAGAATCAGTAAACAATATTCTATCATAAATGGATTTCCTCATCGAGTTCATTGGTTTATTATACCTACTCCAGGTTTATTCATATTTGCACTTCTTTTTGAAGAGTAAACAAGATCCTGAGAATTTCTAGCAAAGATTTATGACAGTATACATTAACTATAACCTTGCTCTCGATATTCTTTAAATTGGTTGAAAATTTTAAATCAAAACAATTTCAGAATTATAAAGACACCATTTACATTGTACTTCAAGTATTGAAAATGTGAGTGTTTGTGCTTTTCCATGTGTGAGGGAGATTGTTTTATTGTCTACTGTATATCTGTATGTTGTAATATAGGATTGAGTATTTTGCAGGTTCAACAGCAAGTTGCAGCAGAATATGAAAACCTGAAAGAACTCATGAACTCTATATCCCTGTTCAAGTCAGATAATCCCTCAGCCATTGCAGACAGACCTTTAGGTGAGTTGATTCCTTTTTTTTGCTGCTTTGTCTTTCCTTTTATTTTACTTTTCTTATTTTCTTTTGGCTTCTCTTTCTTCTTCATCTTCTCCTTTTACTGCTCTTTCTTCTTCTTCTTCTCTTCTTCTCTCTCTTCTCTTTGGCTTCTCTTCTTCCTCTCTTCTTCACTTTCTTCTTCTCTTCTGGCTTCTTCCTCATATTTTGTATGTATATATGTGTGTGTGTATACAGAATGGATTAATCCTTTCTTGAAATTTATTTTAAAGTGAAAGTATTTCTGTTAATGAATTCTGTATGACCTCACATTACTTTAGATGAAGAGCTTATTTTATAATATATTTTGTCTCTCTCAGGAACTTCTTTACGAATGTCATCATTTGAGGAACCCACAAGAGATCCAGATGTATGGGGTCCACCCCCTCCCCGCGACCCAGATGTATGGCCTCCACCAACTCCTGCTGATCACAAGTATACAAGCCTTATTGATTAATTGTGCTATATTTCATTTTAGAGGTCTTCCAAGCTTTTTTATTTACTCATTTATATTTTTTCATAATAACGGAGATAGAGATAATTACTTTTTTTCAGATATTGTATTAAGAGCACTAAAGTACTCACTCATCACACTGATAAATTTTATGAAAAAGATTCACAATCCACCAGAAGGCCCTAAAAAAAATCTCCTCTGCCACAGGTCCTCACCTCAAGTGAAGCCCACTCGAGGGCCAAAGAAGCAGGACGCCAAGAACACAGGTCCCACTAGGGGCACCAAGGCCGGCCAAAAGAAAGGGGCGGACGCAAAGGGTCGAGGGCGAGATGACAAATCCTCTGACCGCAAGACCAAGAAAGATGCTGATAAGAAGGAGGAAAAGGTCCTCTCTTTACTCTGCCATTCTTTCTGTTTTGCATCTTATCTTTGATCTTGCTTGCTTGTAGACGTGGTATCCTTTGGAACAGTGATTATGTTTTTCTAAAGGAGATTCTTCAGATACACATCTTGTTTATACTTATTTTATTTCTCTACAAGGTCATTCTCCCCCTTTTACTAACTGACTCTTTTCAGCAGGGTGGAGGAGGAAAAGAAGAAAACCGAGGCGGGAATGAAGAAGACGATGAGAAGAAATTCGACCCCAGTGGCTATGATCGCGACTTGGTGGATATGATCGAGCGAGACATTGTGCAGAAGAACCCGAGTATCCGATGGAATGACATCGCTGACCTGCATGAGGCCAAAAGACTGCTTGAGGAAGCTGTCGTCCTGCCCATGCTTATGCCCGATTTCTTTAAGGTACAGTAAGACATTGGTAGGGGTAGATGTGATTAGATGTGGGGAAATTTTCAGTAAATGAATAAAAACATGAGAAATGATATATTGTCAAGAAAATGGTCATCTTATTGTTTATTAGAATAAACCATAATTTAAGAGAATTATTGAAATAGAATCACAGCATTCATTGCTGTTATCTGGTTGTTCAAAAGCAATGATAAAGGAACAAGAATATTGCATAATATAATTAACCTTTCATAGACTTTTAGTTTTGCATAAGTTTATTGTAAATGTCTTTTAGTTTACATGAGATACACCTTTTGCACCCTCTGATAAAAAACAATAGCTGAATCTGGGGAGGGTGATGAATTTGTTACCTCGTACAAATTATTGATCAAAAGTGAGTGACAAAAGACTAACATTCATTATATATAAATATTCAGTAAACTGCAGGCCCAAGCATATTATACCAATGTTTTGCAGAATTCTCTGTTTTACAGAATTAAAGCAGTCTATCTCAAGCAGGCAGGAAAAAATTAATAGATTGCCATGAGAGTGTTTTTCTTAGATATTCCTAAAAACAATTATATTTTATTTACATTAAAATCTTGCATTTTTGGAGACTGAAGCTGGCATATTTCTGATCCTTTTACATTGCATGGTACTCCTCTACCCACCCCAGTCTTTTCTCACCTCTATAAAATGGGCCTCAGGTTTTTATGTCTGTGTATTTGGTATGGGCAGCCGAGGGACAAGGAATGGTTTTCTGCACCTTGTTTCTTGTATTCTTTTCAAATATTTACCAAAGTGGAACAAACTAGGTTGAAAGTGTTGCTGAAATGAGGTGGATTGGTATTCAGAAAAAAAATTTGTTAAGCACCAGGTTCACTTGTCATTGATGATTCAGTGACCAAACTACCTTTGACAAGAATTTTAGCACTAGTCTTATATAAAAGTGGTAAGGCAACAATATTGATTTTTGGGTGGTTTATTTTAAATTTTTATACAGACCTAGTTTGTAAAAAAAAATAAGAATAAACATTGTTGGTTGCCTTTCCAGGGCATCCGTCGGCCTTGGAAGGGTGTGTTGATGGTCGGACCACCAGGCACAGGCAAGACAATGCTAGCAAAGGCAGTTGCTACTGAATGTGGCACAACATTCTTTAATGTCTCTTCTTCAACGCTTACATCGAAGTATCGTGGAGAATCAGAGAAGCTGGTGAGACTTCTCTTTGAAATGGTAAGTAAAATAGTGGTGTGTCAAGAGGGAAAAATGGGACATGATATTTTGTTTATATTTTTAGAATTATTCATTTGCTTTTATTTATATATCATTATTGAATTAACCAATTTCAATATCCTTTTCTTGTTAATGTAATGTCCAATATGTGATTGTTTTTATAATTAACAGGCCAGATTTTACGCACCAAGTACCATCTTCATTGATGAAATTGACTCACTCTGCTCCCGGAGAGGCTCAGAGTCAGAGCACGAAGCTTCAAGACGTGTCAAGTCAGAGCTTCTTATGCAAATGGATGGAATCCAGTCCTCAGAGTAAGACACCCTCTCTTTTTCTTTCTCTATTCTCTTTTTTTCTTTCTTTCTTCTCTCTTTTCTTCTCTTCTCCCTCTCCCTCCCCCATCTCCCTCTCTCAAAATTTGTAATTTGCCATTTTAAAACAGTCACAAGATTTAATACAAAAATGAATTTGTATATTTGNAAAAAGGGAGAAAAAAAAAAAAACTTTCATATTTCGCATCCTGACTCGAAGAATTACGTCACAAATGAACAATAACCCCCTCCTCTCCTCCTCTTCTCTCTCTCTCTCTCTCTCTCTCTCTCTCTCTCTCTCTCTCTCTCTCTCTCTTCTCTCTCTCTCGTCTCTCTCTCTCCTTCTCTCTCTCTCCTCTCCTCTCTCCCTCTCCCCCCTTCCCCCTCTCCCCCTCTCCCTCTCTCCCTCTCTCCCTCCCCCCCTCTCTCTCTCTTCTCTGCTCTCTCTCTCTCTTCTCTCTCTCTCCTCTTCTCTCTCTCCTCTCTTCTCTCTCTCTCTCTCTCTCCTCTTCCCTCTTCCTCTCTCCCTCTCTCCCTCCCTCTCTCCTCCCCTCTCCCTCCTCCTCTCTCCTCTCTCCTCTCTCTCTCTCTCTCTCTTCTCTCTCTCTCTCTTCTCTCTCTCTCTCTCTCTCTCTCTCTCTCTCTTCTCCCCCTCTCCCTCTCCCTCTCTCTCCCCCTCTCCCTCTCCCTCTCTCTCCCCCCTCTCCCTCTCCCTCTCTCCCCCACTCTCTCTCTCTACCCCCCCTCTTACGCTCCTCTCTCTCCTCTCCCTCTCTCCCTCTCTCTCCCCCCCTCTCTCTCTCTCTCCTCTCACTCTCTCACTCTCTCACCCCCACATATCGAAACGACTGTCAACAGAGCACACGAAGACAATCGAAGAAGGGAAAGATGGCAAACAAAGCAAAGAATGGTCGACCGAAAAATTCATTAAAGAAACTTCTCCTTCGCTTTGAGAATCCTTAAGAGCGGTGAGAGAGAAGGAGGAAAGGAGAGGAAGACAATGGAGTACACGGTGCAGAAGAAGATGAAAGGGAAGAGGTTGTGGGACATGAATGGGGAGAAGTGAGAAGAAATAGAAGGGGAATTTACGGAGACGGAAAAGGCAGGGGGGGAGATAGAACAGGAAAAAAAATCAATAGGAATGTAAAATCTTAAGAAGGAAAATGAAATCGTGACGAATCAGGAACAAGGAGAAACTCAAATTCGCGAAAAAAAAGTTGAACCAAAAATGAAATGACAAATCTATCCCACGAGAGTTACTTATTTCTTTTTCCTTTTTTCTTTTTTTTAGAATGCTGAAAAGTTTAAGAGGAGGAGTTTGTTTCGGAAATGTATCCATAGGGAATTTCTGCCTCCCCCCGCCGGACTCAAATGACACTTTGATTACCGTTTTGAATTCTGCCTCCGTAATTTATCTCTCTCTTGTCACCTCCTTTTCTATTTCCCGCCTCTCTCTTTCTATTTCTCTCTGCTCATCTCTAATCTTTCTCTCTATATAACTTTATTTATTATCTATCTATCTAATCTCCCCCTATCTCTACTCACTCTTCTCCCTCTTTCCCTCCTCCTCTCTCTTCTCTTCTCTCTCTCTTTCTCTCTCTCTCTTCTTCCTCTCTCCTCTCTCTCTCTCTCTCTCTCCCTCCCTCTCCCTCTTCTCCCTCTCGCCTCCCTCTTCCCCTCCCTTCTCCCTCTCTCCTCTCCCTTCCCTCCCTCCCTCCCTCCCTCCCTCTCTCTCTCTCTCTCTCTCTCTCTCTCTCGTTCTCTCTCTCTCTCTCTTCTCTCTCTCTCTCTCTCTCTCTCTCCCTCCCTCCCTCCCTCCCTCCCTCCCTCCCTCCTTCCTCTCTCCCTTTGCTTCATGATAAGTATCGAGAGATCGATCAGCAGCAAAAATTTTCTTGCCAGTTCTTAAGGTCAGTAAATCATCATATCTCCAAATACGTCATATTTGTTTACATAAACTTCATAGATAAATTAAAGAACAACTGTAAAGCGTAAGAGAGGATCAAGAGAATCAATTACTAACTCGAGAAAGATTAATCACTGACTCGTTATTTCGATATCATTTCCTGCAGCCTGCGCTCTCTCATCATTCCCTATTCAGCCTGCACCTTCCCCCTGCCTATTTGATCCTACTAACACACTCATAAGACGAGGACAGGGACATATAATGTGTAATTCTACTTTGATTGTTCTTATCACCCCCCTCCTTCCCTTCCCCCCCTCCTCCTTCCCTTCCCATCCCCATGGGGTGAGCCAACTTCCCCTCACTCCTCCCCTCCCTGCCTGCCTCTTAGTCCCCGTCTGTTCCCCTCATTCCCCTACCCGGTGGTACCCCTTCTCGACCTCCCTGGTTCCCCTCACTCCTCCTCTCGACCTTATCCCTTGACCGTTTCCTTTCTCGTCTCATTTCTTCTCCATTTTCTCATTTATCCACTCCCCTTCACCCCCTTTATTCTTCATTTTTCTCCCCCCCCCCTTCCACCCCTCACCGCTTCTCCCCTCTTTCCCCACTTCTCCCCTCCTTCCCCCCTTCTCCCCTCCTTCCCCACTTCTCACTCCTTCCCTACTTATCTCCTACTTTCCCAACCTCCCTTCCTTCCCACTTCTTCCCTCCTTCCCACTTCTTCCCTCCTTCCCCACTTCCCCCCCTTCCCCACGTCTCCCCTCATTCCCAACCTCCCCCACTCTTCCCCAACTCTCCCCCTCCCCCACTCCTCCCCTCCTTCCCCATCCATTCTCCACACAAGTTCCTTTCAGTAACGAGTAATTGCATTCTCTAGAAGGAAGATAGCTTCTCCTTAGGCAAATGTTCCGACAGATGCGCCACAGTAATATCTGTTGATACTTTCCTTCGAGTGACAAGGAAGGGTTAGACTGAGGCGAGGGGCCGGGGAGAGGTGGGCGAGGGAGGGAAGGTGGAGGGAGAGCGAGGGGAGGGAGGCGAGGGGAGGAGAGCGAGGGAGGGAGGGAGGGACCAGGACAGAGCTAGCATATAAGTGAAAAAGAAAGGGAAAAAGGCAGAGAAAAGGGAAAAAAACGAAAGAAGGAGAGAAAAAAAGAAATTCTGTAACCGAAATCCCTTTATTATGTGGCCTCCCTCACCATAAGAGCCATATAAGTGCAGATTTTCCTCACTCTCTCCCTATCCCTTCCCTGTGTCTCTCTTTCTAACACTTGCTCCGTCCCCTCCCCCGCCTGTCTCTCTCTCTCTCTCTCTCTCTCTCTCTCTCTCTCTTTCTCTCTCTTCTCTCTTCTCTCTCCTTCTCTCTCTCTCTCTCTCTCTCTCTCTCTCTCTCTCTCTCTCTCTCTCTCTCTCTCTCTCTCTCTCTCTCTCTCTCTCTCTCTCTCTCTCTTTCTCTCTCCCTCTCTCTCTTTCTCTGTCTCTCTCTCTTTATTAATTACTTTCTCTTTCTCTTTCTACCCAATTGGTAGATAAATGAAGTGGAGAAGGACAGTATAAAAACACATTGAGGATTCGCACAGATCAGTACTAAAGGGATAAAACAAACGTAGGGGGAGGGGGAGGAGACTACCGTAGGGGAGATTTTGCGATTAGGGAGATCTTGGGACTGGTCTGTGATTGGGGACGGGGAGGCTATAAGGGATTTGGTGTGGAAGCTGAAAGTGATAACTAGAAGGAAAAAAAGAGGAAATAGTTGTACTGCTTAGAAAGAGAATGGAAAGGATAAAAAAAGAGGGAGAAGGGGGAGAAGAGAGAGAAGAGAGGGAGAGAGAGAAAGAGAGAGAGAGAAAGAGAAAGAGAGAGAGAGAGACAGACAGGAGATAGATAGATATAAAGATAAGAAATAAGTGGAAAGAGAAAAAAAATAAAGCGAACTGTCGAAACGAGAACTGTCGAAACGAAGATAAAAAACAAACGTAAAAAGATAAACAAAGGGATAAGTGGAGAAACAAATTAATAAAACTCCCATACAGTATACAAAAAAACAGCAGACCAAAAAAAGATGTGCAGATCTCCAGAACAAGCAGAAGAAGTGGAGGCAAGAACACGACCGCCGCTGAGATGTCCGCTTCGGCATTAAAGGCATAGATGGCGTCCATTAGTATTCCACGGTGTGTGTGTACTAGGGCTAGAGACGGGGGGAGAGGGGAGAGGGGGAAGGAGGGAGGTGAGGGAATGGAGGAGGGGGGAGGAGGAGGAGGAGAGGAGGCAAGAGGGGAACCCCCCACAAACTTTTGCATGGTGAGGGGAAATGCAAAAGGCTTGTCATGAAATTAGGATTTTATGAGAGTTCGTGAGACCTTGCGAGAATTTTTATGTGCAGATATGTGTGATGGGATTTGTTGTCGCGGGGGGGGTGGGTGTGGGGAGGGGAGGGGAGGGGGAAAGGAGGGGGTTTCGGGGGGATTTCGTTAGGCTTAGAGGAAGAGGGGGGGGATAGAGAGAGTTAGAGAATTTGTGAAAGGAGGAGGAGGAGAAGGGAGGGGACGGGAGGGGGGGGGGGCAAAGCTGGAGCAAAGGGGAAGGGAGTTAAGGGAGAGTGGGAAATGGGAATGGGAGGGGTGTCTTATGGGTCCCCGCGTGGTCTTTGGGGTGATACCACGCTTGGAATCCAATGGAGTAATGAACCGTGTTGTAGGCTAAGTTACGTATATCCCGAGGAGCTGCGCGAACCATTAAAACGTGGAAATAAGAGAAAGTTGACGCATATCGTGAGAGTAACCGTCACTGCAGCGGCCATTACGGCGAGCTGGTAAATATAGTATCCGAGGGGGCAAAGAAACAGCGTAAGAAAAATGCATTTTCTTTTCTATCGCCTCAGAATATTCCCAACGACTTGCAAGTCTCTCAATTTGGATCGAGTTTGAAAGTCTTGTTAGTGTGAAAGGTTCTTGCGAGGGATGTGTTGTGTAAAAAGGAATTTAAGAAAGTGAAAGGTTTGTTTAAGAAGTGAAGAGTGCCGTTGCTGCCTTGTACTTCATTTCTCGTGATTTGTACCTCAGAGAACGAAAGATAGATAAGAAAATTAAGAAAGGTAAGACTCTACGAGATAC